TGTGAAACGTATTTTCACGTGATGTATTATTTAACCAATTATCATTAAGGCATCATTTTGATCTCGTTCAAAAATTTTTTTTTCAATTAATATTAAACATCTAAATGAATGTAGAAATACGATACTCTACTTTTATTTTAAATAAAACACTGAAATATTTATTTTTGATTCATAATGTATTAAAAACTATTTTGGAATATTTATTTTTATGGAATTTGTAATTTGTAAGAAAATGACAGGAAAATTTGGAGTTATGGAAATATAAGTATGCATTGATTTAATAAGAACTTTTTATCAATATACTACAAAAAAAAAATCTAGAGTTTGATATACATGATGATCGTACATCCAACGTGACTTAAAAAAATGATTATTCAAATTTTCGTGTCTAATTTTCATGTCTGAAAAATTTTATATCCAAAACTTCAACATGCAGGCTTTTTTAACTACACCGAAATATAACAAATTTTATATTTATAAGACCCCTACAACTCCATACCAGAGGTTCTGCAATGCTTTTGGATATCATCGTATGCCAGTCTAATCAGAACCCCAGACATCACATATATAACTCATAACTGATCTGCATAAATTTAGCACTTTTTGCTCCTGCTAAAATAGACCTAATTTGCTGAAAATCAAATTATCACATTTTAAATCTATACCAATTTGCTAAAACTCAAAATATGAGTATAACTTTTTAGCAAATTGGCCTAAATTTCAAAAAAAATCACGTTTTTGCAATTATCTCGGCATCCAGTGATCCAATTTATGCGAACTTTTTTTTGTTTTGTAGCCCTCATCGAGCTCTACAGATTAAAAAAAAATCTGCATAAATCGGATCACTGAATGCCGAGATAATCTCAAAAAACTGAAATAAAAAAATGTTGCGAAACTTATCAGACAGTTTTTGGCTTGCATTATGCTTAATTTTGGCCAGAATTATACTTAATTTTGGCCAACATATAACCCGGACCCTGAAACTAATATTTTTAAAAATATTATCAATAAAAGTTAAAAAAAAAGAATAAGTTAAATTCAAAAAAAAGTACCAATTTGCTCAAATATAAAATATGACTTTGTAAAATCAACACAATTTGCTAAAACTTATAATTATAACTTTTAATTAATTTTCAATCAATTTGCTCTATCTAAAATTATAAGTTTAACCTAATTTTGATTGAATTTGCTAAAACTCAAATGTGAGTTATATATGTGATGTCTAGGGTCTTGTCTAATCATAGATCATGGTCGAATTTTTTTCTATTTTGACTAGTAGCTAATATAATAAATTATTTTTATAAATTTATTTACCCATTTGATAAATATTGAATTATCATTATTTAATGCTGCACTTCATGATAAAAATCTCATTGATGATGTTCATTAATGTTAAATATTACATGTCCATTTAAAATAATGAATATTATAATATACATGATCTACAAAAATGTACATATAATAAACATTTTTTTTATGACTTTCTGATGTCTATTATCCACATAACCATCTATAGCATTTGCTAGCTCTGTGATTGTGGCCATATTATTATCAGAATTATACAAGTCTGGAGAATTCCCTCATTCAGGCGAATTTTTTCATGATGAGATGCTTCTGATCTGGCATCACAATTTCTTAACTTGTTCCTCAGATTCTACTAACTGCTCTTCTAAACTGGAAATATATTTTCCTTTATCTCGCACATCTTTTCTAGCTTAATATAGCTGACTTTTTAAGGTAGAGATTTCAGATTTTAACTCTACTATCTCTTCTTTTGAAGCATTTTCAAGGTGCTCTATCTCCCTATTGAGATCTTGAATTTCTTGCTCACATCAGGCATAATTCCGTTCCAGTTGATTAATTCATTTCTCATTTTACGATTAGTATCAACTTCTATCTGCAATTCACTACGAAGATGAAAGTTCTCTTCTTTCAGCTCAGCTTTATGTTCTTTATATGTTCTTCTCTGTCTTGGATGAGATCTGCAAAATAACATTCTTTTTTCGTGATTATAAAAGAGAATGGGGGAACCTCTTGGATCAATTTATATTGATCTTTAGAAAGCGCATAATCTTACTAACTAGGATCTTACTTTGCAAAAGTATAAGAAAAAAAGTACCCTCAACTAATGAGAAGAATCTGACTTCATGAATGCCACTCTTTTTCTGTCTCTTCCAGATTATCAATTTCATATCATAATTTTTTATTTGCATTAACCCGCTCTCTATATTTCTTTTCTATATCTAGCATAAATTTCTCAAAAGTTTATCTATTATAATCGAGCTGGTGCTGGGATAGTACTTTAAGCTTATTCATAATCCGGCAATTATTCTCTTCTTCATGATCATGCTTTAGCGCCTTCGGCCAAGTGATATTATCAGTTTGGAAGGAACCATTATCTATAACATATATAGTTGATATTTCTTTGAAAGATAAAGATGTCTGACACTCTGACCAACTTTGAGTTCGTCTCTGCCTCTCTGGCACATTAATTTCTTTTGGTATCTAATAACTTCATGTTTTAAAAATGATTCTACAATTGGATTAATTTCGCTAGCCTCTTTCTCAGATAATAGTTTGCATTTCTGTGATGTGAGATGAATCCATGTCTCATTTATTAGGGAAGCTGGTAATTTTGCTAGTAAATCAGAATATGCCTGGTTAAATGCCATTATATATTTATACATTGCGCAAAAAAAAAAATATGGAATTTTATGGAATTTCAAAAAATAGACTTCTAGGGTCAGTTTTATTATAATACAAATAATACATTTATGGTCTTTTTATAAATAAGAAGAGACGTGCTAGATGGATCAAAAATTTATGTCACACATGCCTAATCCATAAAATGTGGACAATATATTATTTTATTAAGACAATATTCAGGATTTGGATTAAGGACTAATCTGGAAAATTCATTCACAATTATTATTCATATCTAATAAATCTACATTAGTCACATTATATAACTGGATAAGAGTTGGGAATTTTGTTAGAGAGTCACATGAAATGTATTCCCTTATACTGTTATACACATACATTCATTCCAATATAATTATCCAGTCCAAAATGTGAATATGCTAAACGGATAATTTCATCACATGATTTACTAAGATAAGCAGTTACCTGTCTATGATAATATTCAGAATTTTCAATCATTTTTACTGATACTTTGTGGAATCTTACACAGGTCAAAATGCTAAAAATCAGCAAAAAAAATGGCACAAAAAGCAGTGGCTATTTTTGGCTATTTTTGGCTAGAGCTCTGAATGGTTCCAGTTTGAACCGGGAACTGATCTGAAACTGACCAAAAATTCAGTTCAGTTTTAGGTTCGGTTTTGGAACCGAAACTATTCAGTTCAGTTCAGTTCTATTTTATTTTAAGAAAAAATGCAAAAATCGAAATAACTCAGCAACCAGTGATCGTATAAAGACGAGCAATAACTCATTAGAATCATCTCAACGAGGCGCGTCGAATGGTGGTAAAATCATCTCTCTAGATTCGATATATCACGAGATAATTAATGCTAAACATTTTTTATAAAACTAGTGATAGAATCGTATCTATTGATCCTAGAGAAATGATCTTGGCATCATTCGATAAGTCTTAATGAGACGAATCTAATGAGCCTTTATTCATTTTTTTATGATCACTACATAATGAGTTATCTTAATTTTCGCATTTTTTTAAATTTTTGAATGTCAAAAAATAAAAATTCCGATCTAAGATATAACCCATCTTCTACTGATTGTATTGGAACAATCTTTAGCTCATTAGAACCGACTCAATGAGACGAGTTGAATGACGGTAAGATCATGTCTTTAGCATCGGTATATCATGAGATAAATCATGCTAAGCAATTTTAGAAAATTAGCATTAGAAAGGTATCTACCGATTCTAGAGACATGATCTTACTTTCATTCAACTTGTCTCGCTGAGACGGTTCTAATGAGCTAAAGATCGTTCCAATACAATCAGTAGAAGATGGTTATATCTTAGATCGGAATTTTTATTTTTTGATATTCAAAAATTTAAAAAAATGTGAAAATTAAGATAACTCGTTATGTAGTAATCAAAAAAAAATGAAAAAAGACTCATTAGATTCGTCTCATTAAGACCTATCGAATGATGCCAAGATTATTTCTCTAGGATCAATAGATACGATTCTATCACTAGTTTTATAAAAAATGTTTAGTGTTAATTATCTCATGATATATTAAAGCTAGAGAGATGATATTATCGCCATTCGACTCATCTCGATGAGACGATTCTAATGAGCTATTGCTTGTCTTTATACGATCACTGGTTGCCGAGTTATTTTGATTTTCACATTTTTTCTTAAAATTAAATAGAACTGAACTGAACTGGACGGTTCTGGTTCAGTTTTCATTCAGTTTTGATTCTTACCTGAACTGGAAAAAAACTGCACCGAACTGATCCATTTGAAGCTTTATTCTTGGCTGTTTTTGGCTAATTGCGAATTAACCTATACTATTTGTAAATAGTTTATACAAATTTGCGAATAGTTTATACATTTGATATGTGTTACAAATAATTGAATTTTCTTATCTTTTACCTAATCACCACTTAAAAACTTCTCCTCATCAGTAGTACTATCATTTCTCAGCGCATTTCAAATTTGAGATGTGAATGACGCAGGTCTCTTCTTGTAACTTCTTCAAGCCTGTTGGATAACTCTTACATTATTAATTAACAATCACCAGACAAATTTAACACTATATAGACCAAAATTATTTTAGTAATGATTGACATCATATGTTTATTATGTTACTATGAATTTTACCATAAAAAATACAAAAATATTGCCTTTTTTGTAAATTTGTGAAACAAATAAAAAAAAATATTGTAACAAAATAAATTCTGAGCTTATTTTTGACGTTTCCTATTAAGAATATTATGAGAATTTTTTTTTCGTTTGGTAGGATCTTAATGTTAAAGTTAACGAACCATATAATAGTTACTATTGTAATCGTTCATAATGACGTCAAGTAATGCTGTAAAGTTGAATATAAATACTTTAGAGACTATTGAAAATGAGTTTAATATTGATTTTATTAATGAAATAAATACAAACAGAACAGTTTTTGAACAAGAAACTTTTTAAATAAATGAAACTGATATAGGATTTGATGAAAACTTCGAATCTGATAGTGAATTTGATAGTTTTGAAAGTGAAGATGAAGAAATCCTGGATAATAATGATGAGAGTGACATAATAATTGAGCAAAAGAAATCAAATAATTTAACGTCATGTGTATTAATTGATAAAATAGATGGCATAATTCAAAGATGTAAAAATAAAGAAAGTTTTCTAACATTATGGCAATTGGTTGGAGTATGGCAGATAGATAATGAAGGAGTCTCAGAAGTAAATGGATCTCTGGAAAAGTTAGGAGTGTGCAGTTATCATTTTAATCATGATCAGAATAAATTACATGACTCAAATTTTAAAAAAAAAAATCTACTGCGTCCAGTATTCTTTGCAGGCGGAAATGTCTCTTTTGTGGGAAACTCTTTTACTTTTTTGGTCGAGGAAATGGTTGTTCAAAACATTCATGGAAATTACTAGGAAAAAGTATACAAATTGCGTGCAATGGACAACATACATGTCCTGCTCTTGGAGAATGTAATCTAATTTGTAAGACTGCGTTAAAAGATATAAAATATTCACGTTACATTTGTTCAGAATGTTATGAATTAGAAGGTGGTCACTTTCATGTAAAACCTGGAAAAGGCAAATTACTAGAAACGTATATTGATCAAAAGTACCATGATGAAGATCCTAAAAAAAATTTGGAAATAATTGCACGTTGGCTTTTTTATGTTAAAAATAATAAGAATAAAGAATATCAAGAGAAGGTTCTTGGAATATTTTTACCTACCTATCTTCAATTTTTAAATGCAAATTACTTGTACGAAATAAATACAGAAATTGTTTCTAATCAAAGTCAATCGATTACTACATCCTCCAACACATCTCATAATTTTTTCACCCCAACATTATTAAAACTTCCTACTTTTTTTATGGTTCGAGTATTAACGCGCTTAAATCAAATTCCAATTTATCCTGATGAAAAAGAATTAGAAGATGATGATTTTGAAAAACTTGGAAAATTAGCTGGAGATAAACTATGGCAATCATATAAACGTTTAAAGACTAACAAAATTTACCTTCAATCTCCAACTAATATCACTGAATATATCGATGCATTTCCTAAATTCTTGAAAATATTTTTTGAAAAAATGTTTTTACAATTGGAATAAAAAAAAATAATACGATCAAATCAATACAAAATATTACATAATAAACCTTTGAAAAAATCTGACCCTCAAAAAATAAATAAGACAATTTCTTTTTTACTTTTGGTAATGGTAGGATATGCTTTTCCTTATTTCGATCTTTAGCTTCCTACTATATTATCATCATTGTGCAGGAGACCAAAATTACTTTACTAAAAATGGCCAATTTTTTGAAATATTTTTATAGACCTAGATACAATAGCTTTCAAAACAATTGTGCAATTATTTTGTAAAATTTTTAAAATATATCAAGATATATTTGAGGTATTTTTGAGATTAAAATATTAAAATAATATCAAAGTTAATTATATTATAATAATAAAATAATAACAAAAACATTAAAAAATTATTGTGATATTATTATGAGTTATTTTTATAGACCTAGATACAATATAATTACAAAATAATAACAAAAATATAATAAAACCATTTTGATGTATTAAATGTATTTTTGTAGTATTTCAAAATTATTACAAAATCATTTCAAAAAATTGGCCATTTTTAGTAAAGTAATTTCTTCCCTACATGCGTTGTTGACAAAATGTTTGATCATTGGACATACAAGTCGCCATGAACGTCGATTGGAAAAAGTTAGAATGAAGGATATTGACCCCACAAAACGGTTGATAAGAGGAAATAATGTGTTCAACTTGGCTATAATTGATAACATCGATTTTAAAGAAGTTAGCTTTGGATTCAGTAATATATATGATGTAACACGCAGAACTTCACATGCGACCCTCAGAATGGTATTTCAGTTAATATTACCTATACTTACTAATGAAACATCTGAATCAGTTAGGGAATTAAATGTTGATACTCAACTTTTTGGAATGACATCAGGAATGCATACAATTAAAGATGTTAGCCGTAATTCAAAAAAGTGTCGTAATACAAAATTTTTATATGCCGTAATTAATTAAGGCTATAAAAATCTTATAGCTGTAATTCAAAATTTTTTAAAAAATAATTAAGGCTAACATCTTTACATACAATGCAAGCAAAAATTAATCAAACTTTTGAAAAATTGTTAAATTTTCAAATGGATATAAATGGAAATATAAGCTATAACAAAAACTTAGACGTTGAGATTATTGAAAAAGAAATTCTAAGCAAATGTGAATTTGGTTGTTTAATTCCATCTCCTAATGTAGTGATTTTAACCCCTACTGGTTCTCCAAATGATGACAATGAGATTTTTCATGCTACACAAATGTACAAAGAAGAATTCCTACTAAATGATGATGAATATCTAGATATTTGCGCAGATGAAGCTATCTTTAGGAGGTTAATCAAATCACGTACTCAATGGGAAAAAATAAGACCCATATTAGGGGGTGGCATATCTCTAAAGATATGCTTGGTGTACTACTTACTATATTCTCAAGTTACGGGATCTTTCATTTGGCTACAACAATTGGTGTTCATTTTTTGGATAAACTTCAAGCTGTTGTTGACTATAGATCAACAAGAAGAGTACTGGAATTAATATGGGTTGCGATGAGGGTAGCGATACAAATTTATATAAAAAAAAAGAATATTAATATTGAGGACATTACAGCTGGACCGATAAATGAAAATATATGCATTAGAGTTTGGTATTTTTATTATGAATATTTTGCAATGTGGAAAAGTCACCTTATTGGAATACGCATTGGTAACTATGAATTACAACGGGACAGTCTAACAGCTTTTGCACCTCTCTTTCCAGCTGCAGGCAAAAATAACTATACAACATCTGTTGCTCATTTTCTATCAATTCTTAAAAAATTTTCCAAGTTAGAAGAAAAACTCCAATATTGTGCTTCTATTAATTTGGCAAGAAAAGGACACTACCCAGCATTTGATGAAGCTTTAGAAATGCGTGGTGTTGGGTATATCAAACAAAATATAATCGGAAATGTTGTTGATCAGGAAAATTTAACGCTTCAAATCCAAGCCACTCAAGAAGAAAGGGAGAGAATTGATACATTATTAAATGAATTTTTAGACCCCTATAATTATGACAGGAATGATCGTAAAGTGAACAACAGAATTGATCCTTTATGGAAGTTGATAGAAAATTTGGTTGAGATTTTTCAAATGGATAATTATACAGATCATGAACTTTTTAAAAAAAATCCGCCATCACAATTAACTCCAGAAGGTTTAAAAAAATTGAGCAGTGCTTATAATAAAGGATTGAAAAGAATAAAAGACGTTTATTGTCAGGAAGTCATTAAAACTAAATGGATAAATACAAAAGGAAGATGCCATTTGGAAATAGTTAAAACAGATATAAGATCGGTAAAATCTTCACAAAACCGAAAAATTCATCAAGAGAATTCCTCTATATCTCAATCAAATAAAAATTCTCAACAATCATCTATCTTAAATGATGAAAATCCTGCTCCTAAACATCAAAGAATAATTACGACTGACGAAGAAAAAGAGATATTAAGTTCGTTATTACTTAAAGATACAATACCAACTGAAACAGAAATTAATAATGTTTTAATAAATTTACCAGCTGAATGGGATAGTCAGAGAGTTAAACGTTATTATAATAATAATAAGATGTCCAAAAAAAAAGAAATAAATTTTATAAATACAAATAAAATTTAGTCATTTAATTCTTTGGGTATATATAAAACCAAAAATTTGACTTTACGATAAAAAGTCTTTAAAAACTACACTTTAAAAACTTTGTTTATCGAAAAAGCATATTTTAATATGTCTAATACACCAAACAATGAGTTTATATAACTTCAGAATCAAGAGGATCTTGAAGAAATGCTTAAAATAATGCATAAACTTCGTATATTATACACGTTTTTTATTGATGAAAATTTTTTTTTAAAAAACAAATGATCGAGTTCTTTAAGTCACATGCTATTCTAATGTAACAATTGGAAAGTCACATGTATATCATTATTATAGACTTTTAATATAATCAAAGTTTTTACTATAATGTTACACCAATTTTTTTTACTAATAAATTCATGTAACATATATTTGTCCGGTGATTGTTAAGCGATTTACAATCCTTTTTTTAATTTCATTTGAATGTTTATAAGTATAATTATTCAAACCTTTTCTGAATATAAAACAATATGTGTGGTAAATCTTTTCAATCTCATCAGAACCGAGTATTGATACTCTCTTTTTGGCCGTTCTAGCAATACATTTCTTCAGATGATCATTGCCACATTTAATAGTATTTTCACAAATAATTACTAAGGAGTCGCATACAGTGCAATAAATATGAAATGAGCGTCTCCCAGCTTTAAATTTTCTATCTATATATGATCTTTCAATTATCTGGATAAACCCATTCTTCGAGAAGTATTCTGGATTATATTCGAGAAGTTTCTTGAATGGATAATGAACACAAGAACACCACATTTCTGGCATTTCACCACTATATCTATATTTAATGCCTGCACTACTACAGGATTTAAACCAGAATAGTTAGTTTTAACCATTTTATGAGTATAGGGAGTTTATAGTAATATATAACAATTTCACTGATTTTATCAATTTTTTATTATAGCAGTTTTAAAGACTTATAGTGATTTATAGTAAGTATATTATAAGATTCATTTTTTTGTTCGATTACATTATTTGTGGCATGACGTATATTGTATCATGGATATAACCACTGTATCACCCTGGCTCCAGCAACTTGAATCATGAGATGATCTACCCTTTTTTAATTTTTGATGCATTAATATACATGTCTTAGGCGCAGTAATGTAGATCAATGATCAGTTCACACAACATATAGATGAGTTAAAAATATAACTCCTATTGGGCGAAACTTTATTTTGTTATATAACTGTTTATCAAAGAATTTTCGGTCTGTGTAATGTAACGCAGTAATAGTATTTTATCTACAAAGCATTTTATATTTAATGTCATTTCAAGACAAACTTGTAATAGTTGATAGTGAAAAAGTTTTAACTTGTTCTATCATTGCCCTACCTCGATGCTACTTTGTCTTTTCATACGTATAGGAAAAAAAATGCCAGGACTTTGATCGTTACAGTTTTTGCCAAATAAATAAAATCATGTGACCTGCGGATGCGCTTTTACAAAGAAAAAATTTGTTTATTGTGTAGTTAATCTTGTTTTTTTTCTGACGCACAGTTATAATCACAATACCCATGTTTACTATGATTTTTTTTCGCGATCTTCCTCTCTTCCCAATACATTTAATCTCAGTTATAAAAAAATTTGCAATAATCATAAATGATAAAAAATAGCTACAGTGCGGTACCTCTATAACCAACCCAATTTTATAGTCATAATGTGACATTTTCAAAAAGATGTCACATTAGCAAAAAATAATATTTTAAAATTCTAACCAATAATTTTAATAAAGCATATCAAGAGCTTTTAAACTTATCGGATTAGATTAAAAAATAATAAATTTTGCTAGTGCTACATAAGTTTGAAGTTCGGGTAATTTATTATGATGGGAAAAATTTGAGAATAAGTGATTTTTGTTTAACATAAAAAAAAATAATCATTTGATAGTGCTTATTCAAATAAATCATTTTAGCTTATAAACTTACCCATACTTTGTTAAAAAAATTTTGAAAAAAAATTCAAAAAAATTTTTGGTAGTTTTTATTTATTACAAATTATATTATATCTATTTCTCAAAAAAGAATCATGGGAAAACTTGCTAAAAAAAATATAAATCCCATAGAAAAGTTCCTGATAATATACTTAATCAAATTACTTTAAATAATTATAATGAATAATAAATTATATATAAAAAATTATGCATTAACATTAGGTATTGCATCAGCCAATCAAATTTATTTTAAGTCATGTGATTTTGTATTATGTCAGCAAAAAAAATTGAGAAAATTTTTTTATTTGCTTAATGTATTTATCTTTTTAAAAGCTATCTAATTTTAAAATTTTATAAAATTCTGACCATTAGATCACAAGATATAAGGGGTACCTATTATAGAGGTACCGCACTGTAATAGTAAAAAATTTTTTTCATATAAAAATTAAAAAAAATCCACCAAATTATGGGTTTGTACAACTTGTGAAAAAGTGTCCATATCCCGAAAGTACTTATTACTATGATCTAATATTGGGAAGCTTAATTTTGGGGGATGAATTCGGGGTATTATTAGAAAATGCCAGACTGTCCTCTTGGTACACATAATTACGTTTTCGCCTTAACTTTGAGTGTTTAACTTTAAGAGCCGTACAATAATCAGTAAGATCGCTCAATCGGTGCTGTAAAAAATTAAATTTGATAAACATGATGAGATATACAATGAATGATAGAAAGGGAGTAAATGAACAACAACCTCCAGAGAACGTAGCATCAAATGCACTGCCTCATATGTAGGCAACTCTTTTGCCGAAGCAGGCAAAGATACCTTGTCAACTATTCCAAAACGATAAATCCCTGGATTCCGGACATCCATTGCATATAGATTCATCTGCAAGCCTGTGACATAAAAAAGCGCACATCTTGTTAGCAGTCTTATCAGAAATTTCTATTGCTTACTCTTTAAATAAGACAATTTACCGATAACTTGGCACCCGAATACCACAACTTTCATATAATCCGTCGATAGTAAACCAGGAAAGGTCTTCATTATTCTGTTTATCATGTCTCGCATTCCAACCATCAGTTTTAGCTTATCTGTCCAAATTTTTTTTGGACAACCTGCTGGAAGTCCTCCCGAGACTTCGCAAATGAAACCTTCTAAAGCTGGTCCTGTTGGTAAATCGATTATAATATCGGTCTTTTGCCCAGCACGTGCACGCTCATTATTAGGATCTTGACCTTCTCTGCGCCTTTCCTGGCTTGCTATTAGTTGTTGTTCAGACCTGAAGATCAAAAAATAAGATGTCAAAATGAGATTAATAAAATATACAAAACAGAGATGATTTTTAAAATTACCAATGTTTTCGAAATTTTTCTTGATTTGGGTCCAAGCTCATATTGAAGGCAGGGGCCACAAAGCGGATCATAAGTTCTCCCTCATTAAGTGGTAGTTTAAGATATTCAAGATACGACTTTAATATTGTCAGATGGGCATTTAGTATAGGCAATGTTTGCTGAACTTCTAAGTCCTATTCAAAAAAGAGCACATGTGGGATAAGGAAATTAGCGAAACAAAAGCAATGGTTAAATACATGTAAACACATTACCTCCATATTATCAAAAAAGTCTAGTTCGGACTGGTCAAGCCCTATCATTTTCCATCCAACATCAACTCGGAAATCATCGACCAGATAATTCCATTTCTTCCATAACATTTTCTTCGTTGGTTTATGCTGTCCCGTTAAGTCAAGGATTCCCCAGTATTGTGGGCTTCAAGGAGAAGGATGATATAAGTGAATTTATTACAATACTCATCCGCAAAATCCTTATATAGAATACTTACTGGACCTCGTGATTTGTTTTTGGTAGGGATTTGCGAAGGGAACTAAAACATTTTGCTATATCAATTTCATCAATCATAAATGAGTCCCAACTTTTTTCTACTGGAATTCTAGATTTTGGGAGTGGTGGTGTAGGTTCTTCTTCACCTCCAATATAGGTTAAATCCAAGTTTATCGAAGTATTCCGGATCTTTCACATAATCACCTTCCGCGTCTTGTGGAGGACTTAATGGGACTGATTTTTCGCCAGCATGGTCCGTATAGTCATTATTCATATCAGTGGATGGAGTGACAGCACGAACGGGAAAGAAATCTTCTATTTTTTTCCGCTTGAAGTTTGGTTCATTGTCCTAAAGTAAAAATTATAGTTCTAATTAAAAACATAATGAATTTGAATTTATTATTAAGTACTGTACCTTTTTTTGAAGACCCAGGTCCGTATCCTCTAATCTTCTCGTAAGTTTTTCCTGCACAATCCGTCCATTTCTAGATGTAGAGTATACAGAGTACACAGCATTTGTGGTGTGCTCCTCCTATGAAATGAAAAAGTTAATGTTTCCATGTCATATACCTTGATATATTACATATCAAATGTTCCGTACCAACAAAGCCTCGCGTTCAGCTACAGCTTCTATCTTCCGCCTTTGCATCGATGTAGCACTCTTCCAGAATTCGTCTATAAGCTGTGATTTCTTTTCCGTCTATTAACGATATAACATTCCTTAGTCTGTGAAAGCCAAATTCACCAAATACTATATACTACAAATGCAACTCCAGTTGCAAGGACGGAACCACCACGAGCCTCAACTCATGCACTTCCCGACCTCAATCAGGAGTGCTGGGTGATTGAACGCAGGCCTCAACCCCATCCAAAGGCATCCTTTAGACCCGTCCGCTTACAAACTAGAAACCGCTCACAAGGACGGAACCACCACGAGCCTCAACTCATGCACTTTCCGGCCTCAACCAGAAGTGTTGGGTGATTGAATGCAGGCCTCAACCCCATCCAAAAGGTTATATACCCTTCAGACCCGTCCACTTACAGTCGGATAGGAAAAATCATTCACACAGGACGGAAACACCACGAGCCTCAACTCATGCACTTCCCGATCTCAACCAGGAGTGTTGGGTGCTTGAACGCAGGCCTCAACCCCATCCAAAAGGTTATATACCTTTCAGACCCGTCCACTGCTACAAGAATGGGTTCCCAATTGTACTTGAATATAATGGGATATGAAAACACTTAACCTGTATTGAACTAATTGCTCTGCCAGCCCGTCTCAATAAATGTACTGGTGTTTCTTCACAGCCCATTATTTCTCTAAGGTTTAAGGAATATCGATGATGTTCTTCGCTCTTATTGGGTAGAAAATCACTGCATTGTTGACGATAGAGTAAAAAACCCAACAAAGACCAGTCGTTTTCAGCTGTGAAGTAGTTTGGATCTTTTATTGAGATTCCTAACGTGAAGAAACTTTTAGAAAGGCAGAAATCCAAAAACAAGATGTTTGAAGAGAATACAAACTTACCTTCCAATGTGTTTTCAGTAGTGAATGTTGTTGACATGGTTTGATAATACAGTTTTAAGAAGTTTAAGCGAATAAATATCGATTTGTACCGTACTAAGCCACTCATGACTCAATGTAATAATTATGGATTCTAAAGTCACATGATTCTGATTTGCACACTTTTATATCGATGTTGGACACACTAATGTTGGTCAAAATCGGATAATTTCAGAAAGGCGTGTGGTGACTTCATTAGAGATTTTAGTATTGAATTCTGCCATAAACTTTTTGTAAAGGTCTTTTCGATTTCCTCCAGTGTATTATTTTTTGTATCAAGATCGTTGACAATTTTGGTGACACGTGCAGAAAGTCCATCGGAAATTTTTTGTTTGAGATTGACCACATGGTAGCGATCCCTATGATTAACACTGGACCAATGAACAAAAAAACAGCGGTTAAGGTCAAAAAAGGCATGACTCCCGAAGAGTTGAGCAATGACATGATTAGGCGTAGTAGATCGGTTACACCACGATTTCCCGACAACCTTTTTCCCGATACCCGACAACGATTACCCGACAAGACATATTCCCGAATGAACATTTTACCGACATGACACATTCCCTAATGGACATTATACCGACATGCTATTTTTCCCGACATGACATTATCCCGACAACACATATCCCGACAGACATTTTCCCGATTAAAAAAAAGTGATTTCCAATTATTTAAGATAAAACATATGGAGAAAATTTTTATTATTTGTTTATTCATATTTATTTTAATAAAAATTCGCAATTTCATGTATACTGTATACTGTATATTTCATTTTCATAGTGCAAATTTTTATAACAAAATCACTAGCAGCAACCCGTTGCGTACCTACAAAAATTTATTTTAGTTGCAAAAAATGGATAAGTGAAAAATTCCAAAAATCTGAAAATCTGTAAATTTTGAAGTAGAGATAAAAAAAAGTATAAATAAAGCCAATCAAATTTCTTCCCATCCATAATCACATAATAAATTATTTACAAAACAATTCCTAAAATTAAAAGATCGTTATTATTATGCAGTTTCTATTTCGTAAGACAAAAATACTGGTTTCCCTTTATGGAAATCTTTTATTATCGGATTTCATATGAATTCAATTAATCATTGTGGAAAAAATTAACTTTATAGCAATGAAATTATCTATTTTTAAATAAAGCTATTAATTATTTCATTTAAAACAGCTTTTTCAGTGATTTAACATTTTTTTATATCGTATAATTCCAAATTTTACAATATCTAATATAATTAAATAAATTGTTTCCTTACAAATTTAATCTTTTTTGAAATTTTTGGTTGTGGTAGCATGTAAGAAAATTATATTTATATTTATAAACATGATACATTATTACAGCAGTAATAAATTACTTTTCGTAATCATTTTCAACATGTTGGGAAAATGTCTGTCAGGATATATGTTGTCAGGATAATGTCATGTTGGGAAAACTAGAATGTCGGTATAATGTCCATTAGGGAATGTGTCATGTCGGTAAAATGTTCATTTGGGAATATGTCTTGTCGGGTAATCATTGTCAGGTAAAGGGTATGTCAGAAAAAAGGTTGTTGGGAATAAGGTTGCAGGCGAAACTCTATAGTAAATGCGAAACTTGACAAAACTATATTAAAATATTAATAAAAATTTGGTGAAACTTGACTATAAAAATCATATGAAATGACAAAATTATAATAAACTGAACTCTTATAAAAAAATTGACGAAACTGAGGTTTAGACATTTTGCCAAATTCAAAAACTAGTTTAGCTCGCAACCTTAGTTGGGAAGTTGTTTGACATTGAGTAGATCTTATTGGTAGATCAAGTTTTTTAGTTATTAACAATTGATTCTTTTTAATATGCAATTCTCTTGCGTAAATGTACTGGAAAAAAGTTTTATTTTATACTATATGCCTACTATGCACGAAAAGAGAATTTAACCCAATTTAAATAGATCAAATAAAACATTACTTTGCTTCATTATGTGTACTTGTCATTATTACATTTTTTTATAATTATATTTTTTCCACCTAAAGCAATAAAATGACGGCCTGGATCCTGTCCAATAATAACAACTGTCTTTTCCCTGAATTGTAATAATAGCGCTTAAAAGAAAATCTGATGTTTTGAAGAAACTGATTAATGTAATAATATTCATACCATTTTCAAAATACCCAATTTCATATTAGATGTTATTACCAAAAACGGAAAATGAGTACGCATAATGTTAAGCTAATGCTAATAGAGAAAATAAATCTACCGTTTATTCTTAATTCGAACGCCCAATTTCCATTTTCATTCTAACATACGATACAAGGATATACAAGATGTATGACATGTAAACTCCCTATCAGTGTGACAGTCAATTTTTCCAAAACTCTGAAAGTGTATTACTTTACATTACATTTCTTTTTTTGAACTATATGAGAAAAAAAGGGGTCAAGATCTGTAAATCAGTAAATCAAGATGCTCAATTCCAATTTTTATCTCATACTAACATCAGGGATGTCAGATTAATCCGCATAATGCTAAATCAAAGATTCGTAATATGTGTATTATGCCAGAACTTTCCAGAAAAAAAGTCGATGGATTAATTATTCATTGATCTATCCTTACGATCTAACCCCATAAATTTGCAAAAATATGACAGCATTTCATAAGACCTTAGACCTGGTTTCATTATTACAAAAATAGCATACCAGGGTCTTATAAAGACAATCCTCCTAGCTATTATTACTGAGAAGTATAGAGATGATGTACTTACTACGCATGATATATTTATTAATTTGGCAAGAATTTCTCTGATATCTTCTGCGCATTTTAGGTGATCAGTTTACATGACAAAGTTTTCGCCCTCTATGCTTTTACAGATACTATTGGGGTTTCATAATTAAGAGGATTTTTGCATGTGATATGATAAGTTCATTCTCCACAATATTCACCAGCACCCCATTTACCCTTTATATCTTTCCATAAACTTTCTTCTTTATGATCTCCATTACATAGTGGACAGAGTGTTGAACTATTAAGATCAAATCGCTCACTACGTTCACTATTATCGCTTAAATATAGAGAAGGAAACCGTTCTAGCATCAACCCAAACTAAAGATTATTAATGGATATAATAAAACGATAAGGTCAAAGAAGGTGACAGATTTACAGATGAAATACATATATAATTACGTGATTATCCCTCGCATTGATTATAAAGCGCAACTCATAGTATGGTCAGGAACACAAGTAGAAAAATTGAACGCCATATGTAGATACATGTTTAAACGGAAAGTATCCCTGCCACTTACAACGCCTAATAGTATAATACATTCATCAATGGGATATAATATTAAAGATATCAATATGATTCAAGCTCAATGACAGTTAAGTAGAGTATATAACCAAGTAACTGCTAAAGGTTTAACGAAAGATGTTTTTGAAATAAATTGTAAAAAATTACAAAGTGAATTATTATATAATAAGTCGCTATTAGGAGAATGGAATATTAGTCCAAAAAATCTGCAAATTAGGCACTGTTTGCTAGTACGAAATCTAGCATTGTTATTTGATAATATGTTAACTATAAGAGCAAGTAAAGTTAAAATAAATCAAATACAAGGAGTTTCTCTACCATTAAAAGATATATTCACGCATAAGGAGCTTTTTCAAAGTGGTATTAGTAAAGGCTTAAAAGGAAAAAATGTATGTTTTGTCAGTCAATTAATATCTTCAGATGGAATATGTCTCTTGAGGTATAAGGATTTGAAACATAGAATGAAAATTAATACACAAGGAAAAATCCCTGGATGGTTTAAAACTATTGAAAAAAAATTAATTGACAAACCTTTAATTTCAAAAAAGGTGAAAAGTATATATCAGTTGGAACACAATTTAATTGAAAACAATGTTGATAGTGAAGAGTTTAAATCAAGAAATTGGATAGCAACGTTTAATGATCAAGTGAATACATCAATAATAGGGCGTATTATAGATAAACCAGATAATGGTAAATTTGTAATAGAACATTGGATACAAGAGATAGAGAATGATACAATATCACCTTTATTACAATTGCCCATAATTAAAAAGTGTAGAGGATGTGAAATTAAAACAGATCGTACAAGAAACAGAAGAAATAATTCAAACATGCGATGCATCACAAAAGCTGCGATAGATAATAGCGTAAAAATTAATGCCAGCTTTATACAAAATGATCATTATATAATTGATAACTCTATATATGAAGTACTTGCTCAAGCTAAATGTAAACATTATGGGGGACTAAATGTAAAAGTGAATGATGTTGAAAGAGTTAATGGATTATTGCGGTATATATATCCAAAAAAGTACTGATTAGAATTATTGGAAATAATAAAGCATTTAGAAAGTAAAAAGAAGATTGAGATATATACAGACGGATCTATGAAAAACATGACAACAAGAGAAATGAAAATGGGTAGTGCTTTTTTAATTAGCTCCCCTATCAATAAGGAATTCAATTGTAGTATAAAAGATAATCCATCATCAAATAAAGCAGAGCTGATGGCGGTAATTCTGAGCGTAATGGTGTGCCCGAAAGTGGCGGAGGTAAGAATACATACAGATTCACAGTGGGTTATTAATATATTTGACAAACTGTATAATGAAACAATATCAGAAATTGAAAAATCAAAAGTTAATTATAAAATTTGGTAGCTGTTATTGCTTAAAATGGTGAAAATTTATGATCTTAATATAAATTTAATAAAGATCAAAGCACATGGAGACAATGAAAATAATAAGACAGTAGACAAATTGGCAAAACTAGGTATTGAAAAAGAAACATTAATAGTAGAAGATACATTGTTGTTACACAATGAGACAATATGTTGGCGTGATATGCCTATTGAACGAAATTCTATATTAACGATAAAAGGAGTTAAAGATGCTCAATTTGTAAATGAATTTATGTCGTTAAATAGAAGCTTAATATACCAACAACCTGAATTACTGGAATTGATAGATTGGAAAATGTCTTTAAAATTAAATTGTATTAATCAATATGATACGTTATTTGAAGATCATTACTTGCAATCATTTAGAATAAAAATATGTTGTGATGAATTACCAACATGTGCTAATTTAAAGAAACGTAAGCCTGAGTTATATGATAATAGGTGGAAATGCAATTTTTGCGGAATTGAGGAAGAAACTTATGATCACTTATGGCAATGTTATAAGATCAAAGATATAGTACAAGAAATAATTTCAATATTTAAAAAATTCTTGGTGAATATAATAATTGAATTTTCAAAAGATGAGATAAATAAAGGAACCGTATGTTCAACCTCTTC